CAGGGGCATGAATAGCAACAAACAACGAGTCTCATCACCCAGCTTTCTATCATCTCATAGGGTAGCTGTATTGGTCAAGAATCTCCAGAGAATCAGATTTTAAGGAACTGATTCACATAATATGGGGGTTGGCAAATCCAAAACAGGTAGGGCAGAGGGGAGGCTGGAAAGTCTGGCAGGATTTCTGTGTTACAGTTTTGAAACAGAATTTTTTCTGCTCCAGGGAACCTCAGATTTTGGTCTTATGGACATCAACTGATTGGATGAGGCCCACTCAAGTTATGGAGAGTCATCTACTTTACTGAAAATCACTGATTTTAAATGTTAATCACATCTACAAAACACCTTCAGCCAAATCCAGATTAGTGTTTGACCAAAGAACTGGACACCATATTCTAGCCAAGTGAACACATAAAATTAACCATCACAACAGCCTTTGGGAATGTCAAACTCAAATGGCCTCACTGGGAAGTTATCATTCAGAGACAGAATAACACTTTTTGGACAATAGAAATCAGAAGAAGTCGGCAAGGCAGACATTTATTTAGAAAACAATGCAATTAGAACCTCTTTTGAGTGATACCTCTGACACCTCTAGATGGATGATGTTGGGAAAGTTATTGTAACTTTTTGGGCTTCAGTTCCCTCATCTATAAAAGGGAGAGACTTCTTTTACCTTCCTCCAGTAGAGGTTGAGAAGAAGTACAGCCAAAATGCTCCTTAGAAGCAAGGATGGTGTGACTTCATCTCACATACTTTGGACATGTTATGATTAGGGACTAGTCCCTGGAGAAGGACATCATGCTTGGTAAAGTAGAGGGTCAGAGAAAAAGAGAAAGACCCTCAAAGAGATGGATTGAAACAGTGACTGCAATAATGGGCCAAACAGCAATGATTGCAAGGAAGGTGTAGGACCAGGTACTGGTTTGTTCTGCTATGCATAGGGTAGCAATGAGTTAGAACCTAACAACAACCAGTGAAATAATGCCTATGGGAAAAAAAAAAAAAAAGGTATAACTGTTATAAGACTTTGTTTGTAGGAAGAATAACATTGATTAATCTCTAGAAACAGTGCATAAGAAAATTATTGATTTAGCAGGATAAAGCCCCATTGTATTAGCTCCATGAAGACAGAGACTCTACATCCCTGATTCACTGTTCACTCATGTCTAATACATAGAACAGTGGATGTACAATAAATGGAGTTACCAAGTTGTTGAGTCAATTCCAATTCATGGTGACCCCATATGTGTCAGACTAATACAATGGTTTTCAATAGCTGATTATTTGGAAGCAGATGGGTGATGAAAATGGTTAAAATGTTTGGCTGTTAAGGAAAAGATAAGAGTCCACCCAGAGACACCTTGGAAGAAAGCCCTGACTATCTACTTCTGAAAAAATCCCACAGCAGCTACTGAATCACTGAATCACTCTTCTTTCATTCAGATGAGAGGAGACCAATAGTTACATCTTAGATGGATGCTCAAAAGCTTTTAAGACCCCAGTTGCTACTCACCAAAGTAGGTTGTAAAACAAGATTTTTATGTACTATGTTGTGCCAACTGAGCATGATGTCCTCCAAAACTATGGTTCTGAGTAGGCAGACCCAGTGATTCTCTCTCTCAAAGTGTTTTGTTGTTTCTGAAAAGTTACTCCAGCTCTGCCTTTGCAAAACAGTGTTAGTATTAAAGGTGATTTTGCTGAGAGGTGAAAGCAGAGCATAGAGTTCAAGGAAATGAAGGGAAGGGATCAGAATCCAAGTTGTGGGACCTATGGAAGTAGCTTTCTCCTTAGATCCCAGTATTACAACCTCATCCAATGAAGTCTGATCAAGGAAATGAAGGAAAGTGAGAATTTAGTCAATATCTGGGATTTCCTAAGCTTCTTGATGGTAAGAATTAGCTTTGGGGTAGGGATGGGGGTGGAGGGAGACACAGAAGGAGGAGAGACATTTGTTTTTTAAAAAATATTCTCAAACCCTACCCTGGACTCACTGAATTCCTAGGACAGGGTCCTGGAAATCTTTCAAACAAACACCCCAGGTGCTTCTGTACAGGCAAGTTTAGGAAGTATGCAATAGGTTCTCTAGAAAGTCCTAATCTAAAACTCTATGCTTTTAAAATATGAAGTATTTTGTTTTACATCTAGAAGGTTCCTCATGAGTATTTGTTGATACACAATGCCTAGTAAAACTACTTGTCATCAAGTCAATTTTGACTTGTGGTGACTTTATGTGTGTCAGAGTATAATCTGCTACATGGGGTATTCAGTGGCTGGTTTTTTGGAATTAAATCACCAGTCCATTCTTTTGAGGTGCCGCTGAGTAGACTCAAACATCCAAATTTTCAGTTACCAGCTGAGCATGTTAACTATTTACACCACCCAGGAGCTACATAATATTTATGTTGTTAGTTGCCATCAAGTTGACTCTAACCTTATGTTATGAAAGAATGAAACCTTTCTTAGCCTTGCACCATCTCCATGATCTGCGATATGTATGAGACCATTGTTGAGGTCATTTTGTCAATATATCTCATTGAAGGTTTTCATCATTTTCAGTATGTTAAGTGTTTTAAACCAGCCCCAATATATGTATTTACATATGTTTATATGTCATACCATCAAACGAAGATGGAAGGAATACACAGAGTCACTGCACCAAAAAGAATTGATTAACCTTCAATCATTTCAGGAGGTAGCAGATGATCAAGAACCAATGGTACTGAAGGAAGAAGTCTAAGCTTCACTGAAGGCAGTGGTGAAGAACAAGGCTCCAGGAATTGGTTGAATACCCATTGAGATTTTTCAACATTGGATGCAGTGCTGGAGGCACTAACTTGTATATGCCAAGAAATTTGGAAGACAGCTACCTGGTTAACCTACTGAAAGTGATCCATATTTGTGTCTATTCCAAAGAAAGGTGAACAACAGAATGTGGAAATTACTGAACAACATTTTTGTAGTTAAGTTTGTGTGTCAATTTGGCTGGGCGTGGTTGAGTGGCTGAGCAGCTGGATGTAGTATTCCCGACAATGAGACTGATAATTAACTCCACGATGGAATCTACTGTGAGCACCTGAGTAGCTATCTTAGGGATGTGGTCTGCTTCCTGTATATAAGGAGAAGCCTTGGGGAACAGTCTCTAGCTTATGGCATGCTTGAATCCTGCATGTAGCTGTGTCATTGCTCAGCAGCCTGCAATGCTCTGCCAAACTTGGGACTTTCAATGGACTTGAATTAATGCCTTGCCGTGTGATTTGGTAACATCGGGACTGTGCCTTTTTACTTGTCAACCTTGTGCTTGGCAGCCTCAGCAGCCAGCAGCTGAGTGAAGAAAATCCTCCAGCTTCAGTGGGCTGGGAGCAGGGGACAGACATGAAGCCCAAGGTTGAGGGGTTTTCACCCAGCCCCTAGAGCCTGGCACTTTGAACTCACACTTAAAGCTTCCAAACTGTAAGAGAATAAACTCCTGTTTCTCCACGCCATCCCATTTGTGGTATATTTCTGTTAGAATGGCACTAGGTAACCACTACAAATATCATTAATATCATACACAATAAAATTTTGCTGAAGATAATTAAAATATGATTGCAGCAAGATATTGACAGGGAACTTCCAGAAATTCAAGTTGGAATCAGAAGAACATGTGGGATAAGGGATATCATTACTGATGTCAGATGGATCTTGGCTAAAAGCAAAGAATACCAGAAAGAAGTTCACCTGTGTTTTATTGACTATGCAAAGACATTTGACTGTGTGAATCATAACAAATTAAAGATTACTTTGCAAAGAATGGGAATTCCAGAACACTTAATTGTGCTCACGAGGAAACTTTTCATAGACAAAGAGGCTGTTGTTTGCACAGAATAAGGATATACTTAAAATCTGGAAGGGTGTGTGTCAGGGTAGTATCATTCACCATACTTATTCAATCTGTATGGTGAGTAAATAATCTGAGAAGCTGGACTGTATGAAGAAGAACATAGATTGGATGAAGACTCATTAACAATCAGTAATATGCAGATGACACAACCTTGCTTGCTGAAAGTAAAGATGATTTGAAGCACTTATTGATGAAGATCAAAAACTGCAGTCTTCAGTATGAATTATACTTCAACATAAAGAAAACAAAAATCCTCAACTAGACCAATAAGCAGCATCACAATAAATGGAGAAAAGATTGAAATTGTCAGGGATTTCATTTTATTTGGATGCACAATCAATACCCAAGAAAGCAGCAGTCAAGAAATCAGATATCATATTGCACTGGGTAAATGTACTGCAAAAGACCTCTTTAAAGTGTTGAGGAGTAAAGATGTCACTTTAAAGACGAAGGTGTGCCTAACTCAAGCCTTGACATTTTCAATCACCTCATATGCATGTGAAAGCTGTACAATGAATAAGGAAGACCAAAGGGTTGATGCCTTTGAATTATTTGGCAGAGCATGCTGAAAATACCAATGACTGCTAGAAGAATGAACAAATCAGTACTGGAAGAAGTGCAGCTGGAATGCTCCTTGGAAACAAGAATGGCCAGACTTTGTCCCATCTACTTTGGTCATGTTGTCATAAGGGACCAGTCCCTGGATAAGTTATCATTCTTGGTGAAGTACAGGGTCTAAGAAAAAGGGGAAGACGCTTAACAAGACAAAGGAACATGGTGGGTGCAGTAATGGGCTCAATCAAGACTAGGCAGGACTAAGACTAAGATTAAGCAAGACTAGGCAATGTTTCATTGTGTTGTACATAGGGTCACTATGAGTTGGAACCAACTTGATGACACCTAACAACAACAATATGACCTACCCACATCTTCACGCAACCATTCAAAATAATGCCAACAGTGGAATACATTTTTGGAATCGTCTCCATTCTGGTAAGTACAGTTAAGGTCTATTCTAATGTTACCCATACCCTTCCTTCATGAGCAACCCAGTCTAGAAACACTATGAAGATAGGGTTGCTACAAACCTGGCCCATTCTCCCAGATGCTGAAAGATTCATGTTTTACCATCATATTCCTTTCACATGCTCAGGGTATAAGTCCATGCTATGCTTGGCGAGGGACTGGACTGTGCCAGGCATTGCAGGGTCACATTCTGCCTTACCCAGATGGTGACACTGGCACTGGGAGTTGAGATTTGTGGCTTCATACAACCACTGAGCTCAGTTTCATGATAAAGCTGCCCTGCCTTGGATAGAGGACCCCTGCATGTCAGGTAGGAATTCACCAGGATGACTGGGAGGCTGATGGACTTGACAAGCTGGTTAAAGCCCCTTAGGAAAGAGTCACATACCCAGAGATTATTGGGCAGTGACAGCACCATGCTGGGAAGAATTTTGGCCCACAGCAAGGCTGCTGGCCTTTCTGGCAGGCAAACAAGTTCAGAAAGACACTCTTAGCTACCACTGTCAGTCTATTAGGTAGCTTAAGGTAGGTCAGGTTGGCCAGAAACTGAAGCACCAGCTCAGGGAGCATATCACTTCTGTTGTGTTTGAGATTCAAGACCCTTAGGAGCTGAGTGGCATACCAAACAGAGTTTGTTCATCTCCAGTCCCAGTTCTCTCAATTCTGACACATGCATCAAGGCTCCCGAGTGGATCATAGTGATATTATTAAAGCTGAACCAAAGGTGTTCCAAGATGTTTATGCTGATGAAAGTCCTTCATGGCAATTCAAATAAGGGCAAGCTTTTAATTCTTCTTAAGCTCTTCAAAAAGTTTCCCTAGGATCTTTCCCAAATAGGTAGCCATGCACTATAGGATCCTGCACAAGAAACAGAAAGGCTGGAAACATCAGGGAACTGGCAAACGGGATCAAGTTGGCCCTCAGAAGCATAGTGAGAAGAAAAATATATATATATTCATCTGAAAAAATAAAAAGAGGTAAACCCTTTTTTTATTACATATTCATGGTTCACCAAAGTTCAAAACCAGTTTGAGTGAGTTTCAGAGAGATTTTGCTGATTTCCTGCCAGTTCTAGACCCCCATCCTCCTCAAAGACAGCCCATTCCCTAAACCCTCTGCCACCTTCCAGCACAGTCCACCTGACAAAATTCTAATCTGAGCAGGAACATCCTGGCAGGCATGATAAGTGATGATGCAGGTGATTCCAGAAAAATCAGAACTAGCAGGGATTAGTGAGAAATGAAAGCTATATTCCTTGGTAAGAAACTACTTGTGAGTTTTAAGTACACTTTCAGCTTTCTAGTGGTAAATCCTATTGGTAATCCATGCTGATATTGCCCAGCACAACAGCAGCAAAGCCTTTGGACACTGAGGTCTATATGGTTCATATCACTGGCTCTGTTAGGACTCATGAATAGAGACTATGACTCTCAACTAAGGTCAGAAAATCCACCCATAGTTTTGTCCTTGAGTCTAAAAAGCAAACTCTAAGGCAGATGTCCAAATCAGTACTAGTACTGCCTTCATTCAGTCTTTGACCAAGAAATCTGGTGGGTTCTGTTGACTTAGCCAAAATGCATCTAGCACTTCATCACTCAGTTGGCTCCTGAAAACTATTATTCCCAATCAATCTTTGGGAGAAGATGCAGACAGTGGCTTACAAGAAGGTCTGTGAACATTCCAACTGTTTGCCTTGTCCCAATGCCTTGGACAGTGGAGTCACTGTTCCACTGTTCTGAGGTTTTACAGCTTGGGTGGCTATAGACACAGAAGCATGCTAGTATAGAAGTTAAAGCAAAATGTGTATTTTCTGATTAAATTAAAGTTTTTTTCCCCTTTTTTTCTTTTCCTGGTCTCATAGATTTTCCTGAAGTTTGCATGTTCACACAATAAAAACAAAATACTTTCATTTAAATGAGATTTATATGATTTCAGCCACTCCTCAGAAGGAAGGTTGGGCAATTCTACTTCTGCAGTGATACTGCCTCAGAAACCCAAGGAGGGGTCGCTATGAGTCAGGGCCAACTCGATGGCACATAACAACAACAACAACAACATATGAGTTCAGGTACTTGTCCTGCAAGCCTCACTCATTCAACAAATATTTATCAGTCCTCTATTCTAGGCCACACACTTTACATTTAACCTCTATGAACCTCAGCTTCTCTTCTGTAAAATGAAGATACCAATGAATTTTTCATAATGTTTATAGGAAATGTTGAGACTATGCAAATAAAAAGCCCCTGGCATTCAGTGGTTGCCCAATAAATGTTAATTTACCTCCCACACCAATTGACTCTTAGAGAACAGCAAATCCACCTTTCTTTTACTTGTGAGTTCCACATGAATATTGAAATTCCATGGATCCTCCTATAACTCATACATACATCATAGACTACAATTTGCCTCAGGGAGAAAATCTGCTTAGTAGCTAACCCATGAGAGGGAAAAATGGGTCACCAGCTAAGCTGATTAACCCAGGCTTTTCACCCTGCTAAGACATCTGGCTAAATCTCTAATATTTCTCTCAATGTAAAAACCCAAAACTGGGGCATGTTATGGGCACAAATTGTGTGGTAGGCATGGAGATGTTCTGCCTACATCCTCTTCCAGGGAGTTGATGCTCAGCTGCAAGGAGTGCTTGCATTAGATCATATCCTTCCCAAGGCAGTCCATACACAGGGACTGAGGGAGTGATGGTATAAGGGCCCAGTCGGCTGTTCTGGCCAGGTGGAGGACAACTCTTATGGGAGATTCTAACTCCAGAATCTCCTATCAGGTTGGCAAAGACTTTGTCAAGCCTGATTCATGTAAAAATATGGTTTAATCCATAGACATCACAAACTACTGGTAAATTTCTTTCTTCTCCACCATCCCAAAATATCAGGGCCTAAAGAGTCCTTTATTGCCCCAAATTCCTTCTATGTCCATCCCATGCTGATCTCCTCTTTCATTTTTTTTAATTTTTATTGTGATTTGGGTGAAAGTTTACAGAGAAATTCATTTTTCATACAACAGTTCATAATTTTGTTTCATGACATTGACTGCAATTTCCTACAATGTAACAGCTCTCTTCCCATTTCCTCCCTGAAGTTACCTCTTCCCTGTGTCCTTCCCTTCCATACACTCCCTGTCTCCCAGCTGTCTCCATGTGCAAACACTGTCCTTCTGTTCTCAATGATATGCTTGTCTATTTTTTGCCTGGAAGCCACAGGAGTGAGTTCAGTTCCAGACCTGAAGTGTAATTAGGGGCCATAGTCTCAAGGGTCTTACCAGGCTCTATCAGACCAGCAAACCTGGTTTTTTGTTTTGATTGTTTTGTTTTATTGTGATCTGGATGAAAATTAACAGAGCAAATTCACTTTCCATACAGCAGTTCACATACACTTTGTCTCATGACATTGACCACAATTTATCACAATGCAACAGCTCCCCTCTTACTTCCTCCTGATAGTTACCTCTTCCCTGTGTCCATCCCTCCATGCACTCCTGCCCCCTGAGCTGTTTCCCTGTGCATAAGCAGCCCTTCTTTCTCCCATGATTGTGCTCTTCAAGGAGTGAATCTACCTCAGGTAAATGTTCAACTCATATGCCTGTCTTTTTTTGGCTGGAAGTCACAGGTGTTGGCTCAATTCCAGATCTAAAGGGCAGCTAGGGACTGTAGTCTCAGTGGTTCCACCAGGCTCTATCAGACCAGCAAACCTGCCCCCCCCTTTTTTTTATCCAAATGATTTTGAGTTTTGTTCCCTATTGTTTTCCCCCTCTATCCAGAATCTCCTAAATAGATCCCCTTCCAAGTGGTTGACAGTGGTAGCTGGGCACCATCTAGTTCTTCTGGTCTTATAGTCATATAGGCTGTAGATCGGATGGTGTACCAGTAACTAGGACTAATTGTTTCCATGAATTTTTGGTTTTCTTCATTCTTCTTTGCTCTGGATGAGGAGAGACCCAGCATTGCATCTAGATGGCAGCTTGCAATCTTTTAAGATCCCATTCACTGCTCGCCAAAGTAGGAGGTGGAACAATGTTTTGTGTAGTGTTATGCCAATTGAGCTTGATGTTCACTGGGACTATGGTCCCGAGCCAAACCTGGGTTTTTTGTTTTTGTTTTTTTAATGATTTTGAGTTTTGGTCCACATTGTTTTCCTACTCTGTCCAGGATCTCCTGCACCAATCCCCCTCTGAGTGGTTGACAGTGCTAGCTGGGTACCATCTAGTTCTTCTAGTCTCCTGGTTACATAGGCTGAGGATTGCATGGTCTACTAGTCCTTTAGACTAATTGTTTCCAATTGTTTCATTCTTTTTTGCTCTGGACAAGGAAAGACCCATCATTGCACCTAGATGGCTACTTGCAAGCTTTTAAGACCCCAATTGCTACTCACAAAAGTAGGATGTAGAACAATGTTTTGTGTAGTATGTTATGCCAATTGAGCTTGATGTCCCCTGTGACTATAGTCCCACATCCACAGGTACAACTACTTGCTCCCTCAGGATAGCAAGCTGTGGCCAAGAAGCCATAAAAACCTTGCCTCTTGTTGGTTCTACTGTATACCCAGACATTCTTACAGCACATACAAATACACCATGCTGATCTCTTTAAATTAATCCAGCTCAACCTAACTTTCCAGAGGTTTTCTAAGATAATACCCATAGGCATGCCATCTCTGGAATAATCCAGACCACTTCTCCATTGCCTTGTTCACATTTCCCTGACCCCCTAATCCTCAGATTTCCTTGTATTTTCATATAAGCATAGGGAATAGCTATATTGGGAGTTCAGGCAGGAAACTAGGACAATTAAAGTTAGTTTGGGTCATTTCATTCATCCTTAATAAATTGGTGTTTAAATGTTATTGGTAGGTGCCAATGAGTCAGTTTGGTGGTTAAACAGATTCTTTAAATTCCACTAATCTTAACAAGGTGGAGGAATCTGATCATATTTTCATCTTCTCTGTTGCAGGATGTTCTGGGAACTTGGCTCTTAGAGCTATTGATAGAGATGGAATCATCGGAGAGGAAGTTACTCTCATGAAATAGTTAGATATAAGTGCCTGCTGGGAAAAAGCCCTGGCTTATCTTAATAGAATCTTAATAAGGGGTATCCTATATATTCAACTGGAAAATCTCCCCAATATCAGGGAAACTTTGGAAAGCTCAGAGAATTGGGCAATCTATGAGAAAGCAGACAGCTTATGCTACCTATTTCTCAAGCTTGTGCTCATCCTTGGATAAGCTCCATCTGCTGTCAACCATTTCTGAGATGGTCCCCTTGGATATCCATGCTCCATGGCATGCCTGTGTTAGACACATAGAAGACTATAGTCCCAAAACCCCTTGAAGTAGGTGGGCCTTGTGACTTATTCTGGCCAATTAAATGTTAGAGGAAATGCTACATGATTCTTCAGGTTTTTTTTCCTTTGTTGTGGCAACTGTTGATGTTCCAGATGGTGGAGACTTTATCAGCCAGTGTCCCTGAGTGAATAAGTGGAACAGAACCCTCCTTCTATCCATCTTTCCCATTGACTTAAGTAGACTCTATGTGAGTAAGAAATAAATTTTTGTGTGTAAAAAAAAAGGTTGCTATCGAATTGATTCTGACTCATGGCAAGCTCATGTGTGTCAGAGTAGAACTGTGCTCCATATGATTTTCTGTGGATGATTTTTTTGAAGAAGATCACTAGCCCATTCTCATGAGGAGCCTTTTGGTGGACATGAACCTCCAAACTTTCCTCAAGTGTGTTAACTCTTTGCACCTCCCAGGGACTCTTTTATGTGTAAAATCACTGAAATTTGGGAGTTGTTACCATAATATAAGACTATCTGTCCTGACTGTAATGTCCTTGCAATTAAGTAACATATACTCGAGTACTTGTACATTGATTTTTATCTCTGCTGGAGTATATAATAGTTAAGGCAAACATTTCCAGCTCCAGGCCTCTTAATCACACTACTTACTGAGCCCCTTGATAGACAGCCCCATTCTGATAGCCCACATTCATTTTCCAGGACATCATTTCTGTTGTATGTCTTTTTTTCCACCCTGAAACTGATACATGTAAGTGCAGATAAATGACACAAGACATACATTCAGTGGGTCAAGAGGTATACAATCATGATATAGTTGGAAAAAGGCATGATAGAGATGTGATGTGCAGTGAATTACTTCTAGCCATAGTCTTGTAACTCCCAACAAAACATGGAGTAGGATTATGCAAATAAG